ATCTGTGCTCGGGTGAATTTTCAGAGGGAAGAAAAATCAGGTTGCTGCCCAATCTTCTACCTTCTGGAGCCCACCAACTGCTTCAGAGAGACCTCTCCTGGTCTCCCCTTCGGTCCCCCCATTTCTAGAGGGACCCCAGACCGGGCAGTTCCAGCTTTTCCCAGGAGCTGTTCCGGGCAGCAGCTGGCTTCACTGTGACCAAGCCCCGCCTACCAGTCAGTCAAAAAATTCACCAGTCAGCATGACCAGACTATAGTCTTGAACTTTATTGAAATTGGGAATCACTGATTTATACCCTCAGACTTGGGCTGTTTATTAACTGCGTGCCTGTGGGGTCATGAAGCTTGTATTTTGAATTTTTTTCTTTTGAATGTCTCCAGCAAAAATAAAACTGGAAGCAAAAGCACTTGGCCTCTTAAGGAGCCATGGTTCCCTCCCATCCCAGAATATGTCCTCATTTGGTTGAAATTGGGAGCAGGGAATCTCCATTTTCTCCAGCATGGGACTACTCTACATTCTCCTGCAGAGCTATATCTCTATGTGCCGCTGGAACTCTCTTCTCTCGAGAAGAGGGGAGTTTTCCTTTTGCAATGGGAGGGGAGGGCTGCATGATTAGAGAGAGAGAGAGAGAGGCAGAGGGGAAGGAGGCAGGCAGGGAGGGAGCTGTGACTCATTGAGCAGCATTTTTCACTCATCACAAATGAGTGGACTAGTGCATTTTTCAAGCCTTGGTAATCTGATATGACTTCAATCATGTGTAGTGGTTAAACTGTAACAATAAAATAGAGTTAGTTACAAGATGTGGGATACCTGGCTCAGCAGTGCTACAAGCGAAAAGGAATTGTCATAGATCACAAGCTGAATGATCCGTTCTGGAGCCAGCAGTGTGATATGGCTACAAAAAAGGCAAATGCTATTTTAGGCTACATTAACAGAAGTATAGTCTCCAAATCCTGTGAGGTACTACATAGTTCCCCTCTATTCAGCACTGGTTAGGCCTCACCTTGAGTATTGTGTCCAGTTCTGGACACCACACTTCAAGAAGGATGCTGACAAATTGGAACAAGTTCAGCTGGAAACCAAGCCTTACAAGGAAAAGCTGAAAGAATTGACCATATTTAGCCTTGAGAAAAGAAGACTGAAGGGAGATATGATAGCACTTTTCAAATATTTGAAAGCCTGTCATACAGAGGAGGGGCAAGATCTGTTCTCGATCATCCCAGAGTGCAGGTCACGCAACTATGGGCTCAAGTTAAAGGAAGCCAGATTTCGATTGAATATCAGGAAAAAAAACTTCCTAACTGTTAGAGCAGTATAGCAATGGAATCAATTGCCTTGCATGCGAACACTGGAGGCATTCCAGAGAAACTTAGACAACCACCTGGAAAATATCCTTTGATTTGTATTCCTATATCGAGCAGGCTTATAGGCCCCTTCCAACTTCACTATTCTATGATTCTATGTGCACAATCACAGCAGTATGTTTCATCCTGTGGCTTACTCTCAGGTAGGCATGGTTAGGGTAAGAAATGCATTTTAAAAATGCATATCTAAAAGCCTACATTATAATAATATTTTTAAGAACTGTGCTTTGTGCATCTCTAGGTGTACTCTGAGGCATCATCTTGTCACCATGAACAGGTTGATCCTGCTTTTGGAAGCTCAGCAGCATTAAGCCTGGGCGGTACTTAGATAGGAGACCCTCAGGGAATAGCAGAGATCTGCTCCCAACAGTGGAGGATGCTGCCAGTCTGGGTTGGCAATCCTGTGCAAGATGAAGCAGTGGTCTGACTCACTGGAAGACAGATTTTGGTGTAGGTTCTTAAGTGGTATATTGAAATGCCATTTTGCAACACAAGCTAATATTTTCATACTGATAAAGGATTTGTTTTATCTTGAGATAGTTTGCTCAATATGTTGTGCATGTATAGTTGAAGCCCTGAGAGTTCTACTGCTACAGGAGGGGTAGAACATATAACTATGAAGGTGACCTTTTAAGGTTGACTAAGGTTTGAAATGACAAATTCTTAAGAACGTTACAGAAAGGTCACCCATGAAGCAATCAGACTTTCCCGCTAGTTTGGTTAAATATGAGAAGTGTGAAAGCAGTCAGTATCCAAGGCAACTCTATACATATAGTCATGGCCAAAACTATTGGCACCCTTAACTTAATATTTGGTAGCACCCCCTTTAGAAAAAATAACAGAAATAAATCACTTCCTATAACCATGAATGAGTTTCTTACACCTCTCTACTGGAATTTTGGACCACTCTTCTTTTGCAAACTGCTCCAGGGCCTTCAGATTTGAAGGATGCCTTCTCCCAACTGCTGTTTTGAGATCTCTCTACAAGTGTTCGATGGGATTCGGATCTGGACTCATCGTTGGCCATTTCAGAACTCTCCAGTGCTTTGTTTGTAACTGTTTCTGAGTGCTTTTTGAAGTGTGTTTTGGGTCGTTGTCCTGCTGGAAGACCCATGACCCATGAGCTTTCTGACACTAGCCACTACGTTGCACCCCAAAATTCTTTGGTAATCATCAGATTTCATGATACCGTTCACACAGTCAAGGCATCCAGTGCCAGAAGCAGCAAAGCAACCCCAAAACATCTTTGAACCTCCACCATGTTTGACTGTAGGGACTGTGTTCTTTTCTTTGAATGCCTCATTTCTTTTTCTGTAAACAGTGCCATGATGATCCTTTACCAAAAAGCTCTACTTTTTGTCTCATCTGTCCACACTACGTTCTTCCCAAAGGATTGTGGCTTTGTCACATAGGTTTTGGCATACTCCAGTCTTGCTTTTTTATGCCTTTGTGTCACCAGTGGTGTCCTCCTGGGCCTCCTTCCATAGCGTCTCTTTTCATTCAGATGGTGACGGACAGTGAGAGCTGACACTGTTGTACCCAGTGTCTGCAGATCAGCTTGAATTTGTTTGGAAGTTAATCTGGGTTCTGTATCTACCATTCGAACAACCCTTCATTGTAATTTTTCAGTAATTTTGCTCCTCCGTTCACATGCAGGGAGGTTAGTTACAGTGCCATGGGCTGAAAACCTCTTGATGCTTTGTGCACAGTGGACAAAGGAACATTAAGATCTCTGGAGATGGACTTGTAGCCTTGAGATTGTTGATGTTTTTTTTCTCTCAAATCCGCAGACAACTCTTTACACTTCATTCTTGTCTCCATGCTCAGTGTCACAGATAACACAAAGGCTGAGTCAACTTTTCTCCATCTGAACTGGTTGCAGGTGTGATTACTATATTGCCCACACCTCTTACTTGCAATAGGTATGTCTAAATACAAATTAAAGGAACATCACATGCTTGAAAAGCAATTATTTTTTACAATTTAGACGGCTCCCATGACATTTCTGGTGATATGAACACATGGCTGTTCATGCATGGGCAATGAAGCATGCCTGCTGTTTCCATAAACACCATTTATTAGTTCATTATATTTGTATCCCAGCTTTCCTCTAGTGAATTCACGGTAGTGTACATGGTTTCCTCCCAATTTATCACACACAGCAAGTTGGTGAATTATGTTAGGTTGAGGGAGGATGATTGGTCTAATCCAATCCAGTCCAATCCAGAGAGTTGCCCAATTTAGTGAGCAGTAGAACATAGGTCTCCCAAGTCCCAGTCTAATAATCTAATTTAGGGATGGAGGAACCTTCCACTCTAAGGGCTGAATTTCTGTGTTAGATTAGTGTTAGAGATTACATTCCTGCAGGGTGTGCACCTCGGGGTTTGTGGGTTAAGGGTATGGGGCAGAGCCTCACATCTGTGTAAATCCAGATGTGCATCTTACCAATTTGTACCAGAGCAACAGCTTTCAGCTGCGAAAGAAGAGCAAGAAGAGCCATGGATGAGGAAAATCAGTATTGCCACGGTATCTTCTGCTGTCTGACTTCCACCATCCTCACATTACTTTGCAGGATGCCTTTGAAGCATTTCATGCTGACAAGTCACTGGTGAACAAGTTTCTGAATTCACTATTGATTGGAGAGTTGGCATCAGATCAACCTACTTTTGAGCCCAGCAAAAATGTAAGTTCCTCCTGAAAACTGGACACAGGTCTGGGAATGTGAACAGAGAAGAGGGAAGGGGTTTTGCCACTTGCTTTGTGGTGATGCGGGTTGGGGGCCCTTTATTATCTTTCGGGCGTAGAACAGTTGTGACACAGTGACTTTAGAGGTCAGTCTCATGGCTCACCTGGAAAATTTATGAGTGGAGGGTTTCTGGAACTGCTTGCACATGTCTGCTGTTTCGATCCACACACCCATCGTGCCTGTACAGAATCGGTAGGTCTAAAGGGGGTCTGGCACTGTTTTTGATGGACCAGAGTTACATTGACTTTCTGTCCAAGCAGGCATGTAGTGCAGAACAACATAACTGTATTCAGCTAAACACACAAACACACTCTGTTTAGACCTTTCAAGCCATCATAAGGTGGTTTGGAGTGGAGTGGCTACTTACAGCTTTGGATGCCCCCTAGTTTTTACTAGAATCCTAATAAACCAACATTTGCTGCAGGTTCCTGAGTAGAAAGCATCTAACAGTGATCTGGGTCTAACCCCTCTTTGCCCTGTGTTTCCCAACATACTAGCTTTCTACATGCTGGGACATTTTGAAGTGAGAGATGCTTTCAAACAAGCAGTCATCTTACGTGCATTCTGAAATGATGATGTTAATTAAAATAGTCTTGCCAGTGAGAAAGTGACAGGTACAAGGGGAGATTTGCAGCAGTCCTATGCACTTGTGTATGAGGAAGTTGAGACATAATCTCGAGTGCGTTCAGAATTGCTCAGCTTGATGCTTCAACTCACCTGTCCATGCACTTCTCTTGTTTTGTAAGACTACCTCGATAGCACTGTCGTCCCCTTCTTGATTAGGGAGCTGGTGTAATTTTGGATCTCCCCATAGGAAACACTCATCATGGACTTCCGGGAACTGCGCAGCACAGTAGAGAAGATGGGACTCATGAAACCCAATGTCTTCTTCTTCTTGGCCCTCCTCTGTCACATCCTAGTACTAGATATTGCATCTTGGCTCATCCTCATCTACTTTGGGACATCTTTACTACCCTTTCTTTTGTCTTTGATTTTGCTCACTACAGCCCAGGTAAGTTGCTGTGGTCAGAAGAGAAAGCCATGGGCAAACCTGCCATTCCAACCTTGAAAACATTGGCTAACTAGTTTTCTCCCTTCTGCTTGCCAGATCGATTAAAGTTTTTTGTTTTGAATTATTATTATATTTAGCATGTCCTTTGCTTCCACTGTTAAATGAATTCCACCATAGACCATCACTGTGAGATTTCTGCGTATCAGTACCTTATGAGAGTTGCTGAGCTTGGGAAAATTTGGGTTGTTTTTTTTTTTATTACAACTCACAGTGTCCTCCAGCCAGCACCTGACTGGACAGCTGAGGAAGTTGTGGTCCTAACCATTAACTTTTCCTCATTTTGTGTATAGGTAACAATTTAAAGTAGGTATGGATATTTCTCTGAAATTCCTGCCTAGACTTAACCTAAGGAGTAGCTGCTATATGGAGCAGTTGGAAGAGTGTCACCATGGTTTCTTACTCATTAAAGCAGGTGGAAAGGGTTGTAAAGGCCATTCAAGTGATGCTAGTTTTGTAAACACTCCGAGTTTTGTTTCTTATTGAAGCAGTCATGTTTGCCTTCCAGGTTCAATCTGCATGGCTCCAGCATGATCTGGGGCATCTTTCTGTTTTCAAGAAGACCAAGTGGAACCAAGCTTTGCACAGATTTGTGATGTGTCATCTTATTGTAAGTGATCGCTTTCTGAGAACTTTTCTGATTACTAAACTGAAATAACTTACTTGAGCAGCATCCATAATGCATGCATGCATGCATGCATGCAGGCAGGCAGGCAGGCAGGAAGTAAGGAAGGAAGGAAGGAAGGAAGTTCATTAACTTTTTCTTTCAGGGATGCATAAAGAAAAAGCCATTGCTGCTTAAGTATGCAGTACAAACCTCCTGGTTTAAGAGCACTTTAATTCTTTCCACTTGTGCATATCCTCCAGGGAGGGGAGCAGCAACAACACACCATGCTGGGCTTCCCTGGAGGAAGTGCACAAGTGGCCCTGATCTGATCTTTGCCGAATGAGCGAGGAAATAACTCCCGAGGGCCTTTTTGGTCTTTTCTTCTCTGGCTCTTATTATTTGAGCACTGCTAGCTAATCTTCCTCTCTGCCCCTTCTCGGACAAACCGACTGATAGGCACACAGACATATGCGGCAGAAACACACACACAGAGGCATGCGCCACCAGCCACAGCATCCAGAGAGCCCGGCAGGCCAAATGGATTTACGCTGGGGTCTGCATCCAGCCCTATCAAACCTTCTCTTGCCCTATTTCTTCTTCATCCTTCGCTGTATTGACAGTGCCTCTGATTCTCCTTTCAACAGGGGGCCTCGGCCAAGTGGTGGAACCTTCTGCATTCTCAACATCATGCAAAGCCCAACTGCTTCTCCAAGGATCCAGATGTGGACATTCACCCTTTCTTGTTTACACTGGGGAAGTCCCTCTCTGTGGAAGTGAGTGTCAAGTTGCTCACGTGCCCTTTTATAATGAAAGCTTTGTATTTCCCCCTGTACTTTGCTTAGTCATATTTCTTAAGTACTATCAGTGCACCCTGGCATAATTCTGTGGCTGATTAGACATGTGGGTTCACTTGTAAACTGGATACTGTCAAAGCAGATTTTGGGTCAGCTTGAAAGACCGTGAAGCAGTAGCTTGAGGTGGCACACTCCTTAAAAAGTGCCAGTTCTGTCCAGTCTCGTTTTTAATCATTACAGGAGAGCGGACTTAATTGTAATATTCTTCCCCCACCCCCACATTTCATAGTGGTGAATACGGTCATAGTTGTTAAAGACGAAACTGGTAAAGAAGGGGCTTAGTATGTGAAACAGTTTTATTTTTGTTTATTATTTACTTAAAATATTTTTAGCCCACCTTTCTCCTTAAAAAGGACCCAAGGTTGCATTTTAGGCATGTCACAATGATGACATAAATAACACCATCCAAACCAATTATTGGCATTTTTTTTTTGTTCCCTGCAATATTCACTCTCTTCCCTCACACTCTCACCTACAGTAGCTGTTGTAGTCTGGACCTGGAATGGCCTTCAGTAGGGCAAGATTCTAGAAAGCACCTTCAGATCCGGCTACACTTTGCTATGTTGTTATTCCTCCTAAACAGTGCCTGCTCATAGGATGTGAAAATGATGACAGTTTTCCTAGTAAGGTGCTCCTGGTTAGTCAAAAGGAATCGTAATACACTCTCCTCAGTTCCGAAATGTAAACATTTCTGTGTTTCCCTCCTTCCAAAGAAGTTAGCTTATTTTATTTTTATTTTATTTTTAATATATGCTGCCTTTCTCCCCACAGGGGACCCAAGATGGCTCACAACAATTAAAATCACAGAATAATAACAAGTTTAAAATACCATACAAAACTATATATTAAACATTGGTCAGGATTAAAAACAATTTTTAAAAAATGTTTTAGAAGTTTATTATTTACTTAAAATATTTTTAGCCCACCTTTCTCCTTAAAAAGGACCCAAGGTTGCATTTTTATTCAAGCATGTCACAATGATGACATAAATGACACCATCCAAACCAAATGTGGCATTTTTTTGTTCCCTGCAATATTCACTCTCTTCCTCCGCACTCTCACCTACAGTAGCTGTTGTAGTCTGGACCTGGAATGGCCTTCAGTAGGGCAAGATTCTAGAAAGCACCTTCATGAGTTTTGGAAGGTGTTGAAACTGAGAGAAGGGCCTCCCCAGAAGATCTTAAGAGCCAATTAGGCTTATATGGAAGGAAACAATCCTCTAGTCTGGAACCAAGACATATACGGCTTTATAGGTAATACCCAGCACTGTGAATTGGGCCCAGAAACAGATTGGCAGTCTGTTGTAAGAAGGGAGTTACATGCTCCCTGTAACCCACACTGGTCAGGAGTTTGGCTGCAGCATTCTGAACCAGCTGAAGTTTCTGAACACTTGGAACTGATTGTCAGACATTTATAACTGTGTATGCAAGCAGGTATACTGTAACAGGATACAGGCCTAAAAAATGTTTTAGAATATTTAAAAAAATAACTTTTTTTAAAAAAATTAAAACTATATAAGTATTTTTAAAATGTTGTTCCCTAAACACATTTTGCTTAAAAACCTGCCTGAAAAGGAAGAACATGAGGGAGGGAGCCAGTTTCGCTTCTCAGGGCAGTGAGTTCCAAAGGCTGGGAGCAGCCACCGAGAAGGCCCTCTCTTGTGTCCTCATGAGCTTGGGAAGGTGAGTTTTGGAAGGTGTTGAAACTGAGAGAAGGGCCTCCCCAGAAGATCTTAAGAGCCAATTAGGCTTATATGGAAGGAAACAATCCTCTAGTCTGGAACCAAGACATATACGGCTTTATAGGTAATACCCAGCACTGTGAATTGGGCCCAGAAACAGATTGGCAGTCTGTTGTAAGAAGGGAGTTACATGCTCCCTGTAACCCACACTGGTCAGGAGTTTGGCTGCAGCATTCTGAACCAGCTGAAGTTTCTGAACACTTGGAACTGATTGTCAGACATTTATAATCGTGTATGCAAGCAGGTATACTGTAACAGGATACAGGCCAAGTAATGCAACGAGTTATCCCATTGACCTCTTATGTAAGTCACAAAAGCCTCTGAGAGAACATGAAGCACTTAGTGCCTTCATTTATTGTAAATCCTCTTTAACCTCAGAAGGTTTTGATTTTTATCTTAGATTTCTTCTCAGGAGTGGGTGTGGACAAAGCAAGAGTTTTCTTATTGTCTGCCACAGAGGACTCAGCTCATAGATTTCCTGGGGCAGAAGGCGTGTTGCACTTGAGATGGAAGCACCGTATTTACCTCTGGGGAACACCAAACTGTGAATGATCATTTCGTATCCACTAAGCTGCAGGTCCCAATCAGAGCTAAATGCTGCCAAATGAGAAGGAGCCCATCAGTGCTTAATCTCTAAAATTTTTATTAGAAGGGCACTTAATGTAGCTGAGAGAATGTGCTAGACCATTGCGTACTGCAGTGGTGTGGAAAAGAGCCTGATGTCCATCAGGTGGTAGAAAAATTATGCAGTATGATTTCATTGTTGACTCTTTAGCCATATTCAAGAAAGAGTGGTCTGTTTTCATTTCACAGCTGGGGCGGAAGAAAATAAAGTATATGCCTTACAATCATCAACAAAAATATTTCTTCTTCAGTAAGTATCTCCAGTCTCCTGAAAGAACACAAGAGTTAGTGGAATCACATGCTATACAGTATAGGGAATTCCTATCCTACCATTTCAGCTGGCCATAGTGTGGTCGAGGAGACATGATAATGTAGCAGTCCAAACAGTGCTGTTTGTCAGCCAGGTGAACAGGGCTTCAAGTTCATTGTTCATTGACATCTGACTGTACACAACCCTTTGCACCTCTCCCCGCCTCCAGTTCCCAATTGGGAGTAGACATTGTAATGCTAATAGGATGAGGAGCTGGTGTTCCCTTCATAGTTACTTTTTCTGTTAGCAGTTGGGCAAGGGACAGCGGAATTACCATCAAAGCTATCAGAAGCAACACTTAGTGCTGGGATGGGAAATCTCAGTGGGTCCAGGAGCCAATTTCAGCCCTTTGGTGTTACTGCCACGTGCCACCAAAATACTGCTTTCAGCCCTTTGGGGGTCCTGTGTTACTGCCACGTGCCACCAAAATACTGTGGCAGGGTGGCAACTGGAAGTAGATAATAGTCCACTTCCAGTTTCCCAAGCATTTTCTCTTTTCACAAGGTTCACCTTGTTGTAGAGGAGAATCATATTTCTAGTTCTGTCATGAAACTTATTTTTAAAAAAAACTGTTGCAGGGGCTCCTGGAACCACAAAAATTGCTGGACCCTCTTAGCGTAATGAGCCTGGGACGTGGTGGCGCTGCGGGCTAAACCGCAGAAGCCTGTGCTGCAGGGTCGGAAGCCCAGCAGTCGTAAGATCAAATCCACGCGACGGAGGGAGCTCACATTGGTTTGTCCCAGCTCCCGCCAACCTAGTGGTTCGAAAGCATGCAAATGCAAGTAAATAAATAGGGACCACCTCGGTGGGAAGGTAACAGCGTTCCGTGTCTTAAGTCGCACTGGCCATGTGACCACAGAAAGATTGTCTTCGGACAAACGCTGGCTCTATGGCTTGGAAACGGGGATGAGCACCACCCCCTAGAGTCGAACACGACTGGACAAAATAAATTGTCAAGGGGAACCTTTACCTTTACCTTAGCGTAATGAAGCTGGTACTAAGCATAATACGGCCTAGCATAATGCAGTGACAAGGTGTGAAAAGCTTGTGCAACAGGCTTATGGTGTGCTAGCATAAGCAAAATCCAAAGGAATAGATTTGGCACTTGAGCAGGGATGAAACTGGACCTCCAACACATGGTTGAAGTGTTGTGGTTCTTGGGAAGCAAGACATCGCTGGAGGCAACCTGAATTTCTTGCTAGAACAATGGTGCCTCGTTGCCATGGAATTAAGGATCCCTGAATATGCATTTGGATGCTTTCCGTGGAGATTCTGGCAGCCCCACTCCTGAAAACCCACAATTGGGCCACAGAGGGGTAGGCTTGGAACAGTGACCAGCAAAGCACCCTTTGACTCGCTATGCTAGGGCAAGGGAAAGGGTTCCACCCTTTCTCCAACTGTTGGAACTGCAGCTCTGAATGCAGTGATCTTTATAGACTTCCTGAGCATTCTTACATTTCACTTTGCTAAAACCTTCTGCCCATTGTTCACTGTCAGTGTCTCTTTCATGTGCCACCTAAACCATCTGCTAGTATCACTGACCTCCCTGATAACAGCTAACATTACTTCCGTGTGTGGTAAATACATTTACTCTGGCTGAAAATGACCTCTTTCTTTTATGGTCCCTGTAAGCTATGCCACCACTGCTGTTTCCTGTCTTCTTCCACTATCACACCTTCTACGTTGCTTTCAAGAAGAAATTCTGGGCGGTAAGTATTGCCTTGCTGGCCGGATAGCTCAAAGAGTTAGATTTCTGGATGCAGAGCTAGAGGCCGAGAGTTCGATTCCCCACTGTGCATCCCAAAAAAGAGTTCGATTCCTCACTGTGCATCCCAAAAGAGCCACACTGCATGGCCTTGAGCAAGCTTCACAGATTATCTGTCCTCCTTATCACAACAATACACCCACTACAAAAACACACTGATCACCATAATTCCCCATCTCCTGAAAAGGACAACAGCTGATTTCACAGCCATAAATACTCAACTCCCAAAGAAACTGCACCAGAGCACGTAGTGCTGTCCTCTGAAGATGCCGGCCACAGAGACTGGCGAAACGTTAGGAAGAACAAGCTTCAGAACACAGCCTAAGAGCCCGAAAAACCCACAACAACCATTATACACATTTCCACAATGAAGATACCAGAACTGGCCACTAGAGGGGGCAAGATACCATGCTATGTATCACAGGGTTCCCCAACCCCCAGGCCACAGACCGGTACCAGTCCATGGCCTTGGAAGGACCCGGCCACTGAGACAGATTTTTGAGGGCGGAAGGAACATGTGCTTACACACACTCCTGCCCACACATGCTCCAGCACACACCTACACACCCACCCATGCACGGATGCCTCCTTGCCTCTTGCATGCACACACACCTCGCCGGCCTCTCACATGCATGGACGCAGTCCCCCGCACGCATGCAGATGCCCCCACACCCCATGCCCACATGGACACTCACCCCCCCCCGTTCCTTGGTTATTCAACCGGTCCCTGGTGTCAAAAAGATTGAGACCCACTGATGTATTGGGTTTGCTATTATCTGCTGTTTTTGGCATCTGTGGAGGGGGACTTGGAACTGAATCCCCATGGATACAGAGATCCTATTGTAACTTCATATCCCTTTAACTCCATCTTCCCCAATCCTGGGGTTCATAGTTTGTTCAAGTACCTAGAAGTGTCCCCTGTAGTTCACAGGAGGACGCTAAAGCTCTGTCACAGAGAGCCATTAAGGACCCCATTAAAATTAGAAAATCATGAAACTTTTGTATTATCAAACTCCTGTGTAGTGTAGATACATTTCTTGACACAAACTTTAAAATATTACATTAGGAAACACTCTTGTTCACATTACAGTGGTGCCTCACAAGACGATTGCCTCACAGGACGATTAATCTGCAAGATGATTGTTTTTTGCGATCGCTGTTGTGCTTCGCAATATGATGTTTTCTATGGACGATTTTCGCAAGACAATGATTTTTCCCCATTGGAACGCATTAAATAGATTTCAGTGCATTCCAATGGGGAACCGCGTTCCGCTAGACAATGTTTTCTATGGACAATTTTCACAAAATGACCATTTTTCCATTGGAACGCATTAAATAGATTTCAATGCATTCCAATGGGGAACCGCATTTCGCAAGACGATGTTTTCACAAGACAGCGTTTTTCGCTGAACGAATTAACATCGTCTTGCGAGGCACCACTGTATTATCTTTTATCCTTTAAAAGGATCTCAAGGTTAAAAAAGTTCTCTAAATTCAAACAAAGCAAAAGCCAGGACAGCAGAAAAGACGTATGATTAAATTAAACCACCAGCAGGGAATTGTCACTGTGTTGGGAGAAAGGCCTTGTGACCTTCAGAAACCTTCTCAGTGAACTAGGCTAGTGGGCCTCCCCTGGGAAAGAATTCCACAAGGAGCAGACTTGAGAGGATGCCCATTGCTATCATGGCCTGTGGCCTTAAGAGCAGTGGGTATCCCTATTGCAATAGGTCCCACCTATTGTGGGACAAGGTCGAACATTGTAAAGGATCTTGACCAGAGTGGGGACACCTGCAGTCCTCCATACAGTTCCTGTCAGGGGAGGCCCAGCGAACCAGAATGAAGAGCAGATCTTGCCGCCTTTGCCACCTACCTTCCTGGGCTTCTCATTTCTACCCTAGAATGTGGATAGCCATTCAGTTTTGGATAACAACAGGAGAGTATACCGAGTGACACTATTTTAGTGGGGGCTTGCTTCATAATAAATGTATGAGGAAAATGTCTAATGTACCTGCTTCAAGCTTCTTTCTGAGTTTTGTTCCCTTTTCCTAGGATCTGATCTGCCAGTTCTCCCATTTTGCCCGGTTATTCTTGGTCCAAGCATACATACTAGGACCAAAGGCTTTCCTGCTATACTACTTTTTATTCAGGTACTACACAACACAGATTCTGACTGAGCTAATGTTAGTCATGGCTGTTTCACTGAAAGTAGTGGCTGTCAAGTAAGTAGTCGCTAACATTGGCCGATTCATTTCATTTGGAACTTAGCCATGGAAAACATCAGCTGATGTCAATCATATGGTGCCATCTCTTTCTCCAAATCCCATGCTACTTCTTTCTAATTATATTTTATCAGAGTATTACAGCAACAATACAACCTTTGTAGGATAAAACAAGGTCTGCACTATCACTTGTACCTTTCAGAATGTGTACAATTTTTAAAATAATCAATTATACAAAATACTATTTCTTCATCCACATTATATTCATAAATGCATTGTTGTAACAATGATTCTTCCCAAATAGCAATACAGTGGCGCCTCGCTTGGCGATGTTAATCCGTGCAGAAAAAATCGCTGCTAAGCGATAACATCGCTAAGCAAAAATAAAAAGCCCATAGAAACGCATGAAAACGCAATTAATGCATTCCTATGGGCTAAAAACTCATCTTTAAGCGAAGATCCTCCACAGCGCCGCCATTTTCAGTGCCTCTGAAGCGAGGTATCTGTGTCTGAAAACAGCGGGCGACCATTTTGTTTACCTGGCGGCCATTTTGAAACCGCTGATCAGCTGGCTGAAAATGGGGGCTTTGCGATTATCGCTTCCCTGCGATCATCGCAAAGCGAATTTCCCCCATAGGGACCATCGTAAAGCGATCGCTTTTGCGATGGCAAAAAGTCCATCGCAAAGCGATTTCGTCGCTATACAGAGCGATCGCTATGCGAGGCATCACTGTATGTGCATATCAAATTCCTAATGTTAGATGGATTTTCTCCTGTGACGCTTAATCAAATATACAAATCAGAGTCCTTTACTATAGTGCGTTATTGGGATTGCTCTTAGTCAGTGTTCCCTCTAAGGTGTGCATATGCACAGAGCTCCATTGGGACTGCTCACAGGCAGCCAGTTTACTTCCCATTTCAGATTAATCCTTTGCCTCTCCATGCACGGACGGGTTGAGGCTCCCACATAGCGGGAATGAAAATTAGAGGGAATGTTGTGCTCAGTCATGATGGAATCCCTTGCAATAGTGCTGTAATATCTGTCTTCATTCACACGTGGCAGCAACTCAGGAGCTTTTAAAACATGAGAAAGAACTGGTCTGTGGGCTCATGGGTGCAACTTTGGGACCCAAAATGCATACAAGCAGCCTCACAGGGGGCATTTAGAGGAGTCTGAGCAGTAGGCTGCATTTCCTTTACTGTTTGCTGACTGAATCCTGTTCTAGTGCTAATGGTTCTTTACTGTGCTTTATGGGTTGTACTAACTGCTTTATTTTCTCAGGTTTTATCTTTTAATTAGACTAACAGGAAGGAAAGAGAGAGAAGTTCAGCATAAGACTTGAGTAGAATGGGTGCGGAGAATTCTGAGCTGGCTACTGAAAGCATATTAGGGTTTAGGGCTTGTTTTGGGGAATCTATACAGGACTAGGCTATAGAACTTCCAGCACATTTTTCGTGGTTGCAGCTTGTTGATATGTGAATAAAACAAGTGCAAGCTACTTTTTTTGAGATAGACTTGTTTTTCAGCCTATACAGAAATTCGAACATTTGGAGAATGTTTGAAGCTTTTAGAGATTTTAAGTGTTTACAAGATACCACATTACCCATAGATGCTTGTGCACTGTTAATGCAAGAAACTTGGCCACAGATCTGTGGTCAAGAATGGCTGCACTAATGGCTACGCTTGTGCTTTCTGAAAGTAAATACTTGTCTTTACTTGTGTAGGATGATGGAGAGCTCATGGTTTGTCTGGGTATCCCAGATGAACCATATACCCATGAAAGTTGATTATGATGAGAACTTGGACTGGGTCTCTACACAGGTGAGGTCTTTCGTATCTGGCAACTGTATAACTATGTACAATAGGACTTTACTATCCATCTAGGAGTTTATTAGCATTCTGGAGTTAGCTCAGGCTGAAACAGAATGAGAGGCTGATTTGATTGTACAGTGGTGCCCCGCAAGACGGGCGCTCCGTTTGACGACGAAATCGCATCACGACAAACTTTTTGCGATTGCAAAAGCGATCGCAAAACGATGTTCCCTATGGGGGAATTTTGCTTTGCAATGATCGGTTCCCTGCTTCGGAACCGTTCATTGCAAAGCGATGATTTTTTAACAGCTGATCGGCTGTTTCAAAATAGCCACCCACTGTGTTTTCGCACGGATTCCTCGCTGCACAGGCAGGGAAAATGGCCACGCTATGGAGGATCTTCGCTGGATGGTGAGTTTGAAGCCCCTAGGAACACATTAATCTGGTTTTAATGCGTTTCTATGGGCTCTTTAAAATCGCATAACGACGTTTTCGTTCTACAGCGATTTCGCTGGAACGAATTAACGTCGTGATGCGAGGCACCACTGTATATATGATTAAAATATTTGAACAGGAAGAAAAGGAAGAGATTTGCTTTAGACCATGAGGACTCAATGGGCCCGAGAGTCCCAAGGATTAGAGATGGAGCAAATTTGTAAATGGGGAGTGGGGAGCAGGCAAGGCCATCAAGTGCTAAGCAGGAGGCAGTGGTTAGCAAACACTTTTGCCCCAAGAGCCGCATTTATATAGGCTGGAGTAGGGTCTGACTGCTTGTCTCCCTCCCCTGAATTTTCATCAGGATCTGGCAGAAGAATAAGGAAAAAGGACCTGGGGTGGGGGGGAGGGGGTGTGAAAGATGCAGGAGAGGCAGGACTTCATGCAAACACAGTTCTGATCTAGGAGTAAAGACAACTATTTCAGTTCTGAAATGCCAACCCTACTTTTTCTTTCAGCTCCAGGCAACTTGTAATGTTGAGCAGTCTTTGTTCAATGACTGGTTTTCTGGGCACTTGAATTTTCAGATCGAACATCAGTAAGTATGGAGCTCAAGGCAGTGTTTACTCTTCTGCACTGAGGTTTCTTTTGTAAGAAAAAAAGAGGAACTTACATTTGTAGTACCTATTACAGCATCAGCTGTCTGGGCACAGATTACTTAATTTCCACACTATCTATACAAAATACCTATGAATACCATTGCTGAACAGAGGTTGTTATTTTATTTGTTTAGTCTTTTCCCCCGGATGCCACGTCACAACTTGTGGAAGGCAGCCCCTCTGGTGAAATCTTTCTGTGCAAAATACGGTATCGAGTACCAATGCAAGCCTCTGCTGAGAGCTTTGGCAGATATTATACAGTACGTATCAAAGAGAACAATCAAGCATAAGGATAATGAAGCAGATATAGATTAGACTGCTAGTGGGCGGGAACCTTTTTGAGCTTGAGGATGAACTCCAATTTGGAAATGATACGAGGACTGGATTCTGGCAGGGGATCGAAGAATGTTTTCCTTTCCCATGTGGACCAAACTCAGCTCAAGGCTGTGCATGTGTGCTTAATGCAACAACTCCTCTGGCTGCAAAGTGCAGCTCATTTCTATGGAATGTATTTCAAGTTTATATAAGCCTCTTATTTATATGCATCACTAATTGGAGATAGTAGACGCAGCTCTAGGACTGATGGGAAACGCCTATAGATTGGAGGTTCCCCACTTTCAAAACAGGTGTCTGCTTTCTTGATGCTGAGCAGACTTACTTCTCTAATTTGACTTCATAGGATTACTTCTGTGATTCTTTTTTCCTAGGATGTATTTAATTTTCCTTCCCCCTCCCCTTGGTTATTGCAGCTCCTTGAAGGACTCAGGAGAACTCTGGTTGGATGCCTATCTGCATAAATAAGCAGTATTGACTTTTCAGAGAAGAGGCCCACTGAGAAACTGAGGGCTTTTACCATTTCCTTGATGCCGAATTCTTCTGTTTATATAATAAACTATTATCTTGTACATCTTTTGTTTCTCATTTTTTATGATCCACTGATCCTAGCAGTCAAGATTTTCAGATGCCTTAAATCAGCACCCAGGCATCTATTATTTTTATTTTTTTGCTTTGGAAAAAACATGGTTACTGTCATTAGATTTAAAATGCCCAGCACCTTCATATCTACTCAGTTACACACGCACTGGTAACATCCCACATAGATTACTGCAATGCGCTCTACGTGGGGCTGCCTTTGAAGACGGTCCGGCAATTGCAACTGGTCCAGAATCGAGCTGCGTGGCTGGTGAGTGGTGGGGCCGCTAAGGAACACATCAAGCTGATTCTGTTTAAGTTACATTGGTTACCAGTTGCTGCCCGGGCCCAATTCAAAGTGCTTGTTTTGACATATAAAGCCCTAAACGGCTTGGGCCCTGGAAACCTGAAGGACCGCCTCCTTTCATATGAACCTACCTGGCAGTTAAGATCTAGCCAGGTCAAGCTGGTTAGGGCTTCATTTAATAGCAACAGAAGCATTTAGGATACAAAACAAGGATGCAATGCAACCATTAGCAAATTCACACATCCATGACAAAGCCCAGACTATAAAAAAACAAATGTTTCACCACAAAACGAAATCTGCTTCAATCCTGTTCTTAAAATGTACTTCTTCTCTATTGACATTTTAAGAATAAAACATAAAAAAATTAAATCAAATTCATCAGTGTGGGGAGATGATGACGGGTGAAAAAACAGACTGCAATTCTTGTCCTCGCTAAACTGGAAAGGCTTTCAGTTAGCATATAAAAGCTAATTTCTCGGTATCTTAAAACTGCAGAGCTGGAAGGGATGCTATGGATCATCAAGTCCTGCCCCTTGACAAGGCACAGTGGGGAATCAAACTCCCAGCCTCTAGTTCCGCAGCAAGACATGTAAACTGAGCTATCCAGCAGTTCAAGCCCTCACCTCATCCATTTTATATAGTTTATTGAACATTTGTCTTTTGACTTCAAGACACAGAAACACATCTCTTGACTGCAAAAATGTATTAAAAAGTAACACTTCTCCAGTTTAAAAAAAAACACCTACCTATATGATTAGGAATTTGTCCTTACTGGATGAAATGCTGTTGGCACACTTACACTTGTGAAAAGATGACAGCACCGAGGGAACATTTTTAGTGATGAAAGACATCTCCCTTCTCTCCCATGGTTTTTCTGACTTACAAATAAACCCTTTGTGTGGAAGCAGTACGATGGGAGGAAGTCTTTCATTACCAGAAGTCTTCTCCACTAGTAATATAATGCAGCAGTAGTGGTTTTCATTAATGAAAGACTTCCTCCTTTCCTCCCATGGCTTCCGTGCAGTGAAAGGGATCATTCGTAAGTCAAAAAAAGGCATAGAAAAGAAGTGGGAATATTTTATCACCAAAAATCTCTCCATGCTGGTGGAATTATCTTCCTGCAAGTATACTACACCAGCAGTTTTTTAGCTTTCAGAAAAGAACATACCTCTTTTCTATTATTTGAATATGTACTAGTTTCTGCAAGGATGGAAAGATGTCGTTGGCCAATAAAGAAACTCTGTCAAGCCGGAACAAGAGGGAAGCTCATCTTCAGGTGTGTTCTCCAACTGTGCTTGCCTCTAGCAGCTGCTAGAGCAAGAGGAGACTTTCATTACAGGAACATTGATTCTTAAGGGAAACAGGTCTTCGGGGATGGAAAATCTGTGACTGAACTATAATTTCAGTCTCCACCTTGGTGTCAATCCCAAAATCTTATTTTCTGTGAGGATTCTTTCACAGGAAGGATCACTCAGTCATGCAAATTCGCAGCCATAGCTTGGAAGTGATAGAGGCTATAAATAACTTTTACCACCTCAGTAATAATTAGCCCTAGATTGCAAGCAAAAGTTGGGTTTTCACATTAAGAGGATGGTGCACAAACACCATCTGAAACAGAAATACTCTTAATTCACCATTCTAGAGGTATACCTTTTGCACATATAATTAGCTTATTCTGATAAAACAACTGCTTTTTATAGGTGACCAGACTACGTAATACTTAAATCACAAGCTAAAGAGCCATAGTACAGTTAATGAAGAGTTCCCACTTTCTCTTCCTCTACAACAGTGGTACCTAACCTTTGGTCCTCAGGTCTTTTGGATTAAAACTCCTAGAACTCACTAACTGTGGTGGCCAGGATTTCCGGGAGATGTAGTCCAAAAATATCTGATTACTCAAGATTGGGAACCACTGCTCTACAGTGATGCTGTGAAATAATTAGTCATGTTTACAAAGGCATCTATAACACCATTCGTGATTTGAATAAGGAGATACTACTCAAGGACAAGTACTTTTACAAAGTTATAGAACCTGGTTATGTGTTTCAACATTTTGGCTCAGTTAGTTTAACCCAGATATTATAAACATTTACTTTATATTGTGTGATATAAAAGAAGACACGATAATTGAAAAGCGGCTTTATTATATTACAATAGTTTAAAAAAAAAACAGAAATAAGGGGCAAGGATAGGATAGGAGTTTCTGCAACTGAAATCTACAGTCTTGTTTCCTTATTTCTAAAGGTCAAATAGAAATGCCACAAGATCAAAATGAGAATTTCTTATGTAAAACAAGCATATATAGTACCCATCAAAATAAGAAATCCAAAGCTTAATTTCTTGCACAGGTCCACATTAAAACTGCTTCTATTCTTGTTTTTTTATTCACACAATGAACACAACAATATTTTAGCCAGTGATCACTGTACAAAGTAACTTTTTAGTTGGCATGACATACTAGCCAGAATCTTCTCAACATATGTTATGCCTGTAAAAGGGTGATGATGTCACTGGCAAGGGGAGAAATTAATTAAGTTAAGGCTTCCTTCTTCTGTCGTATGACTTGTCTGGACTCACAAGTAATCTGTTTCATTGCACAGAAGCTATATGAACCATGAAACTGAAGGGAGAAATAATTAAAAAATCTCCACCATTGGATGACTATCAGCAGGACACTTTTGGTAATTAAAGACTTCCCTTCCCATCCCATAACTCCCACCACTTCCACACAATGAAATGGATTATTTACAAGTTGGACAATCTGAGGAACAGGAGGAGGAAATCTTTTATCACAAAAAAAAATCTGCTGGTGAAATCATCATTTCCCAGGTGTAAGTTATACAACAGGATTTTGGCCACCAGATAACAAAACCATAGTAGGAAGCTATGTGCACAACTATCTGCAGATGCCTCTAAAAAGTATAGGTTGATAATTGTAATACATTTTGCTCAGATGTTCTTGCTTGTTCATTGCATTTCTTTTAACATTCTGTGTTGCACTTCAGATAGTTCCAGCAGCACTATTATGTCAGTGTCACAAAATTTATTTTGACAGCTATCTGTCTTTGCCTGGTTGGCTCTCCAGCTATTAATTAGCAGTGTCCAAACATTTAATCTCACACATTTTTGTTTCAGCTAAGCAGAAGGCCAGGCAATAGCGATGATGCTTTTTTGAATATCACAGAACTATAGAATGCTACAGCTGAATCCTACAACTGTATTCATAGAGGATCTCAAGTGGCAGGGGATAATTTTTATTTTCCTCGTTTGAACTTTGATGCAGCTGCACCACTGCCTTTTGTTTTCTTCTTAGCAGATCCCTTGGGTTCTGGCTCTTTCCGCTTGGCTGAAGTGATGGAGCCAGTGACCTTAAAAAAATCATCTAGCCGGCCCTGAGTGCTACCGTGACGACTTTTATTTAGCCTTTTGATCCCATTACGGATTCTTTCTTCATTGAACTGCTTTTCCCCACACAAAAAAGCAACAAGTTCTTCTTCATCTGGCTCACTCCACTTCAGCTCCACAGCCTCTGGATCTACAACTTCAGGCTCCAAGAAGAGCCCCTGGGCCTCTTTGTGCAGCCAGTTCTCAGGCACGGTATACTTCTTGGCATCTATTTGCTGGACTATCTTTTCTATGCTCTTGTACTGTTTGATGAGCTCCACAGCACGCTTGGGCCCAATACCACGGATACTCTCACAGTAGTCACAACCAAGCAATATGCAGAGATCTACAAACTCCTTCTGAGTTAGGGACAAATCCTGAAGGATACGGTTCAGATGGAATTCCTGAATGGGCAGTTTCTTTGCCTCACTGGCTGTAAGATGTCGCATAAGCACAGGGCTACCAAAAGTCAAGCAGTCCATATCCTCTGTAGCAGCTGCATAAACTTTGTTAGCTTTCACCAGCGCAGCACAGCTAGCTTCAGCCTCACCAGGTGCATCAACATAAGGAATGCCCATCAAGGCCAGAAGTTTCTTGCACTCATCATTGTGCTGCTTGGTCACCTTAACCAACCTCTTGCTGAATTTTTCTACATTTTCCTCCTCCCCTGCTTCTTTGGCTTCTTGCAGCTGCCTCTCTGCTTCAGTTCTACGCTCAACACGCTTAGCCAATTCACCTGATTTCAACTGTGGTGGTTTGCCATCAAATACATAGACAGGCTTGATGCCATTTTCCACCATGCGGATAGTGCGGTAAAACATGCCCATCAAATGACTTGTGATCTCACCTTCTTCATTTTGCAACATATCAGTTCCCTGCCGTACAGCAATCAGGAACTGGTAAATGCTCATAGATGCATCAATGGCCACCTTCCGACCAAAGTAACTCTTAATGTCATTTTCGCGAATAGCAGCAGGAGCTAAATCAGCAATCAGCTTGGCCAAACCATGGATTCCCATCTTTGTAACAAAAACAAAGTCGAAATCTAATTCTGAGGTGATACAACACAGGAGAAACCTAGGAAGCAAAATCACAGGTATGAATGAAAGGTTAACAATAACCAGCAAGTAAACCATTATATCAGAAAATTAATGACCTTTGTTCAATTAAATCAATTAATTAATAAAAATTAGATTAAATGAGTTCTAAAGAAATGGAAGGAAAAAACACAGTACTGTAGAAAATTTCTCTTCCAAGAAAATACAGATGCTCACGAGACAGGTAGAATGACAAAAGCACCTATAACCTATTTAGATTACCAGATAGTTGAATATTGCCAGCATTCAAATTTATAACATAGTTTAATGACTTTTGATTATGAAATACCTTATAATTTCATTATAAGAAGATGTCATCCAAAAGGGAAGGCATAATAGAAAGGCAGTTCATTTCCTCATCATTTCATCCATATCCATTATGGAATTCTCTCTGCCTTCTTTCCAATGTAACTGAGCATTAGTTTGGAGAAAGACTAAAACCAACTGATGAGCATTAAATGCCCATATTTACAATGGATTTGTATATAACTCTTACTAAATGCATGAAATATTTCAAAAGCAGTCTTCTACAATCTATTGTCTTCTAGATTTGTCGGGCTACGATTCTCAACTGCCTTATTTGATGGGGCCGTAGTCCACCACAAATGAGACCCAGATTCTGCTTATTCTTGCTTCTTGGCAATACAGGAATGGTAATCTGTCAGAAATAGAGATGAGGGAATTCCTATTTGTATATGAATACCCCTGCACAGCTGGACGTAACAAGGGTCTGCCACCACCAGCAGCTCCACTCTCCCTTCCCATCGCTTCAGAGCTCCTGGTCCGCCTGGCAAGGAGACTCACCTTCCCTCCTTCCAGGGGGCCAGACCCTCATTACCTCCAGCTGTGTGTGGGTATTCATGTTCCTATACAAATATGAATACCCCTATTTCTAGTCAGAAACCAATACTTTTGAGTATTGCTCCTTTCCTAACTGCAGCCAATCAAATGCTGAATGGCCTGTGAAAGAAGCCATTGAGTTCTGAGCACAGCCAGTGAGAAGGAATCATACTCCCAATAGAAAGGAGTTAACTTCCAAGGCAAGTATGTTCCTAGGTAGAAACTAAACATGGGGAAATCTTGGGGAACAAAATGGCCACTCCTACTGTGAGACAGTACAAAGTGGTTGTCTTAGATAGTAAATTTGAAATAATGTGAATGGGCAATAGCAACCCAGTGATCCTTGGTGTGCTATGAAATTTGATCAGAGGTGGGATAGAAAAGTAATTTCTGCCAGAGGTAGAAAAGTGCGTTGAGAGCTGCCACCAGGATCCAGCTCTCCTTTTTTCCTATATATATATCAGAGGGGATTATATCGCGGAGCAAACCTGTATTTGATACCTGTGTTTGGAGTATTTTCTGTGATACTTCGTCAGTCGTCCCCAGCGCGTTTGTGTGTGTGTGTGTGTGTGTCTCCTTGGAATGTAACTTTTGTGTGTGTGTGTGTGTGTGTGTGTGTGTGTGTGTGTGTGTGTGTGTGGGTGTGTGTGTGTGTGTGTGTGTTGTGTGTGTGTCTGTCTGTCTGTCTGTGTGTCTGTCTGTCTCCTTGGGATGTAACTGGTCAGCATGGCAGCCACCGCCTCTGTGCAGTTTAACACGTCCTCAGGACACAGTACTGTATAGAGCTGGGGGGCAGAGGGGCGGGAACGGCCATAAACAACTACACTTCGTGGCCTCCGCTTAGCCAAGACTGAGCACCTGTTTCATCGCACGTCTGTAATTTATGAGGACCCTACGCTGAAAGTTTTAATAAACCGGTACGACCGACATTAACTCCTACTGTTCGAGCTCTTAAAAGCCGCCAACCCACCTCAGCAGCACCTTTAGGGCCGAGGCGCCACCGGGGCTACTTTCCTTTCGCGCCTCAGCCTTGAAGAGGCGGCGAATTGCGAGCTCTGACTTCCCGCCTCGGCTTGAATCCACCTCCTCCCCCGGTCCCCGCAGGACTCAGCTTACCTTCTCCCTCCGGCCACCGAACTCACCGGAGCCCTCGTCCACGGCCTCCCACCTTCCCGTTGGCGCCTTCTAAATCCCGCGCTCAGGGAGGAGGAACGCGCGGGCGCGGGGGTTATATATTGCCTGGGAGGTGTAGTTCGCTCGCCCTCACGGTTTCCGCCTGCTTGCCGCCAAGATGGCTGGAATGGACTACATTTCCCAGCAGGCTTTGAGAGAACGCCCTGTCAGGGGGGAGAAATGGGACGGACGGACTTCCGGCGCCCCAAGAGCGGAACGTGCGTCCGAGGGAAGTACGTGTCCTTCCGGTACCTGTCAGGAGGGGGAAGGGCGGGGAATGAGCCAGAGCCGGAGCAGCTGAAGCCGCAAGAAGCGACCAGGGAGGGCGTCATGGTGAGCGACGTGTGCCGTTTAGCCGTTGCACTCGTTTGTCCCGATACCCAGTTCCCTTTTGGGTGGGGTGTGTGTGTGTGTGGGGGGGAGGCTAGTGCAAGCGAACTTTCGCAGTTCGAGGACCCGGATTGCCTTTTATTGGCCAGGTTGGGG